TACAAAAAAATTAAGGTTTTAGAGACTAAAATTTACGGACAAAATTATTTTTTTGGCACCAAATAAGTGTCGTTATTATATTTTTAGCAATGAAAATTAGACATTAGTGATAGATTATTATCTTTTTGGGTCCAAATTTTTTGTCTAAAAAAAGAAACCATTTTGATGCCAAATCATTTTGTCCCTAAAAGTCTTGTTTTTGACTTTTCAATACCACATTTTAGCGACTATTCTCATGACGATGAAAATTTGTCTATAAATATTTTTTGCAACAAAATTTTTACTTTTAAAAACCAAAACATTTGATCTCTAAAAACTATATATGTTGTAGTGTAATTTGGTACAAACTATTTTCTCTATTCAAAGTACTAACGACAACTGATGAATAAATTACATTGAAATCCAATTGAAAATATAAAATTTAAATTGATGAAATTAGAAATAGGAGAACTCAAATGCAATCGTGAAAAAATCATAAGGACTAATAAGTGTATTTAGCATTTAAAATACAATATGAAGTTAGACGGTTGAAAATTCTCTCTTATATTATGTGGGATCCATTAGTCTTATGGGTAAGGGAATGGCTTTGCTCGACATTAGCATCTTTCATCGATCAATATTATATTTATTTATGATCTTGCTAACAATTTTATTAGAAGTATGGACATGACTCCTCTCTAGTTGGTGAGGAGTGTTGGGCATTAGTGGGCCTTAATTTGGGCCCATGCCGATAATTAAAACTGTTTAATGTGTAAAATTCGTCGAATACACAATTGCTGTAAAAAATTACAGTAGTTAGATATCGATAATTACTTGATCCGATCACATTTATGTCGCAATTTACTTTGAAAATTATATTTGAAAATGTGATATGATTAAGTAGTTATTGATATCTAATCAGCGTGATTTTTTACAAAAAATAATATACTCGACCGATTCTATACATTGAACGATTTGAATTATCATCATGGGCCCAAATCAAGGTCCACCAATGCCCAACACTCCTCTCCAGTGGAGAGGAGCCGGTCCTAAAAATATCTCTGTCTAAATATTATTGGAGATTTAAATATTATTATTATTATTTTGATAATCAATTGCATTTGACCAATTATCTTTTTAGTAAGATTATAAGAATGTGTAGAATTATTCTTTTTCATATTTCATCATATTTATTTTAGGATAAATTATAAATACAACCTAGGATTTGATTAAAATATAAATTGTTCTCTGTAGTTCTAAAAATTACATTTCATCCCATGAGATTTCTATTTTCATAATAAATCGCCCATTTTATTAATAAATCATCAAGTCAATTAACAGTTTTTAATGATGTTGTAAATATGTATCAATTAATAATTTAGGTAATTTTATCATTGTATAGGAGAGTAATTATGAATTTCTTTTTTTTAGTTAATTTTTTTAAATAAATTTTTTTAACAAGGGGGTATTTGTAATTTTTTAAATTACATGTGCAATCTGAACTTTAAGCAAACCTCAGAGGGTGTATTTATAATTTATCCTTTATTTTAGAAAAATGACTTAGACCCCAGTGGGGGTGACCCACCACCACCACTAATTTTTGATTGGTTGAAATTTTTTTTTGTTTTTTTTGTTTTTGGGGTCTTCCTCTCACTGCCCTCCACGTGTATGTGGGGGTGCTGGGGATCACCCCCCACTGGGGTTTAAGAAGCACTGCTTTTTATTTTATAGGTCTTATTTTGGACTCACACAGTAAAATATATTTTATTTACATGTTTAATGATATCTAATGAAATTGAATTTTTGTGTAGATAATTTTTATTAAGAGATTTATAAAATGAATAATTTGAATTATTATTGTGAACTTAAAATGCGACTTGTAAAATAAAGTACGTTAAAATATGGAGGATAGTGATATAGTATGAAAAAGATCATAAAGTAAAACAGTGAGATTGAGAGAAACTAACATTTTTTTTTTTTTGAGCAGCAAAGAAAAAGGATTTTATTGATGAAATAGAAAAAAACAAATACATCAAAAAAAGCAAGGAGGAGGAGTGCAGAGAGCATCATAGCGAACCCAATCAATCCCAACTAGGTTGGCACCGACAAGGCCGCAAAATCATATGCTAGCACCACCACAAGAGTTGGTGAGGAACCAACCACAAACAACAAAGACTACCTCACCCAGAAAAGCATTGGCCACACCTAGAACAAATCAAGCAAACAATCTAATCCTATACACCAGCCTCTCTGATCAACCAACCTCATAGCCGCAGCAGAGGAGACAACCAGAGCAACCAGCAGTAGAAGACTCTTGGACACTTACAATTCAACCCAGCAGAAACCTTCCTGATAAATCAAACTTCCATCATCCTTGGGTTTGAATCTTGGACTGTGTTTCCCACTTTGCCATCGATTCTACAACCTGCAGACCAAAACATGCCCAGCAGTCCAAGATTCAAACCAGCAGTCCAAGACTACCTCACCCAGCAGTCCAATTATAACAAACTAACTCCTCTACTAAGAGGCCAGAAGAAGCAGCATACCAACACACAATACTCCCTCTGCATCAGTCCACTGCCACTTTCACCAGCAAACCTGCACACAATACCTGCACCAAGACAGCAGTCGGCCAACTCAGGTCTCCAAACCCTGGCCAGAGGTAAATGGAACCAACTTCCCACCCAGCAGCAAGCAACCCAGCAGCCCACTCAGCTGGCCAGACAGTATTCTACAACCCAGCAGGCCAGAAGAAGTCCAACACCAATACCTACTTCACCCAATGCCCCTGATGCAGAACCTTACCTGTTGCAGGTTATTCACAAAATCATTTACAGAGTAACCTGAGTAGCAAGCGCCAGCATCTTTGCACCACAACGCGACTCGCACTTTAATGGCCTCACACAGCTCCTCAAAATTTGGGTGAATGCCATTAAAGATACAATCATTTCTTAATTTCCAGATGGACCAAATCACAGCCAGAGGCATGGCCTTCCAAATCACCCTCTCTTTTTTATTCAGCCTTGTACCAACCCACCAATCAAAAAGACAGAGCACTGAACCAGGTAGAACCCACTGCAAACCCCACCAATTTAGCATATGTGCCCAAACCTTCCAAACAAAAGGGCAAAGAAGAAGCACATGATTTACACTGTCCATTTCTTCATTGCAGAAAATGCAACTCACATTGGCCTCATCTGAAAGCACTCTAATTCGTTGCAAAAAACTAGAGGTCTTTAACCTTCCTTTCCATGCCAACCAACCAAAAAATTGAGCTCTAGGCGAAGAAACATTATTCCATAGCAGATCTGAAACCTTACAAACTGTACCAAAGGAATTTTCACACCACTTATAAACCGAGGACACAGTGAAGTTACCTGATGGGTCTGCTTTCCAATGCAAAGCATCGACCACACTTTCCCTAAGGGTTGGAGCATTACTCAGCAGCAATTTCAATCTATGCAAATCCTCCACCTCCCACTGAAAAAGTGCTCTTCTAAAATTGAGGTTCCACTCCACCCCACTATTTCTTCTGGAGTGCATCACATACACAGAATCAAACTTTTCTAAAGACAAGGAGTATAGCCTAGGGAAAACTTCCATCAAGCTCACATTATTACACCATGTACCTTGCCAGAACAGAGTGTTTTTCCCATCCCCAATCACTGGAGCAGAGTTTTCTTTAAAGAATTCTACCAGGTCTGGTCTGGTTCTAGCAACACCCAAGATATCAGCCCAAATACAAGAGGTCCTAGGGTTATCAACAGGTTGTGGACACCACCCTACCCCCACCTGCTTGTATTTGTTATCTATCACCTGTTTCCACAGAGCATTAGGTTCAGCCCCAAACCTCCACCACCATTTCAATAGGAGGCACTCATTCATGAGTCTAATCCTTTTAACCCCGAGACCCCCCTGCTGTTTGCTTTTAGCAATCTCCTTCCATTTAACCAAATGTATTTTCCTCCTAGAGCCATCCCCACCCCAGAGAAAATTGGATTGAATAGACACAAGTTCCTTAGCAACCCCTGCTGGCATTTTGAACAAAGATAAATAATATATAGGTAAGCTAGACAACACAGATTTAACCAAAGTCACCCTACCAGCAAAGGAGAGGTATCTTCTCTTCCAAGAGGAAAGTCTTTGTTTGCATTTGTCTAATACCGGCTGCCAAGTCCTCTTTCTCCTTGGGCTTGCACCCAGAGGGAGTCCTAAGTACTTAAGGGGCAAACTTTGGTGAAGACAATTGAACTTATCAGCAAATTCCTTGGATGCTTCAACTGTTAACCCAACACCACACACCACACTCTTGTGGTAGTTTATTTTTAGACCGGACAACACTTCAAACCATCTCAAAATTCTCTTTAAGTTATTGACCTCCCCCCAATTAGCTTCACAAAATAAAATTGTGTCGTCCGCAAATTGCAGGTGAGAGATCCTAAAGGCACTTGAACCGACTGCTGCCCCTTTGATCAACCCCAGCTGTTTTGCTCTTTCCAGCAGGATATTCAGGCCCTCAGCCACAATATTAAAAAGGAAGGGGGATAGAGGGTCACCTTGCCTGAGACCTCTTTGCGGGCTAAATTCTGATGTTGGCGAACCATTTACCAAAATAGAAACTCTGGCTGTTGAGACACACTCCCTCATCCAACTAATCCATTTAGCCCCAAACCCAAAATTTGAAAGCATGGTAAATAAGAAATTCCAATTGATTGAATCATAAGCTCTTTCAAAATCTAACTTTAGGACAATGCCACTCTTACGATTCTTCTTCCAGCCATCCACTATCTCATTGGCTATCAACACCCCATCTAAGATGTTTCTGCCCCCAATGAATGCTGATTGTGCCACACTAATGATTTTAGGCATCACAGTTTTGATTCTGTTAGCTAATACTTTTGCCAATATTTTATACAAAGAGCCGATGAGACTAATAGGACGATAATCGTTCAATCCAGAGGGGTTCTCATTCTTCGCAATCAAAGCAACAAAAGAACTATTTATGCCTTTGACCAGTTAACATTTGATGAAACTGCTCCATATTCCAGGGTGATTTCTGGCAGCAAAAATAGAAGGCTTACGAGCTAGCACGTGTAATGCTGTCTCACTATTACGATCTTTAGCCACCGTTAATGTTGGGTACTCGTCTATCAACGTCAACGCTGTATCTGCAAAATGAGTCATTGTATTTTAAATTAGATTGATAGCACTATTTCATATCGCTTTGTGAGGGGTTATAGTTTTATTATATAAGTGAACTAATTTCATTAAACTATTATGAGACCTTTTAAATGTGAAAGGCTAATTTCGGATTTTTGTCTAATTTTAAAGGGTACAATATCATACTAGTCTGGGAGGATTAGCTGTTTCAGATCCGATAATCGTAACATATTTAATATATTTTATTTGTCACTAAAAATAAATGTAGGTGTACTTTTTAAAATAAACTATTCATTTTTTGATAACAAACACAATAAATTGAATAGATTACGATTATTGAATTAATCTAATTTTTGTGTGGGAAGATTATACACGAAATGTTCGACAAAATAATCAGTTCAAATTATCAAAACAAAATCCATAATAAGTCTCACAGCCAAACAACATTGTTCAATCCATAGAGGAGGGTGGTCTTTAAAAAAAGACATGTAAGCTTTTTAATTTTTTTACTATTTTAGCTAATTGTTAAACATGACATTTGTGTTTCCTTTTAGTGTTATTAACACAATTGTTTAAGCTGTGTAAAATATAATTATATTTCATTCATCAATCTATTGTGTTTTTTTTTTTTTTGTTAAATCCCTTCTTAAATTCAGATAAACATGACTTACCCAGCAAGCAAGTACTGATACAAGTATTGAGAAGCTTAACCTTCTCACACCAATTCCAATCTCTAACTTTAGTACGCTCATAAAGAAACTGAACCATGTCTCTCTTCCCTGATAGAGCAGCCATATAGAGAGGATTCACTCCATTGTTGCCGCATATGTCCGGTAGCTTGTCATTTTTGTCGACCATCACCTTCGCAATAGCCACCGTGCCGTCTAAAGCGGCAAAGCAGAGGGCAGTGCATCCTTTTTTATTAGTCATTTCTAACTCTGATTGAGTCATCTTGGCAACCAGTTCCTTCACAAAATGGATGTGTTTTCTTGTGGTGGCAATGTGGAGTGCTGTTTCCCATCCCTCAGTGATTCGAGCTCGGACCACTGTCGGATGTTTTTTGATGATGGAATTGGCTGCTTCCCAGACTCCTTCCATTGCAGCGTTGTATAGAGGCACACATTGCATGTAGTACTCATTAATTGCCTCCTTTGTATAAGCTTCATTCATGCATGGAAGTTAGAATTAACCCCAAAAACCTTAACAATGGTATTACACGTACCAATTGGTATATCAATTAGTGTATTAACACATACTATAATATTACAACTTTAAAACTATAAAACCACCTATTATAAAAATTACAAATACTCAAAACTAATAAAATTATGTCACATCATCTATTAGTACACTAATTAGTGTATTCATTGATATGTATAGCTTTATTCAAATCTTAATCTTATACAGTAATTAAAACATTATACATAATAAATTCTAGTAGATTCCAAACACCACACCTAATTCAAATACATCAATAAGAATAATATTATATACATCAATTAGTATATAAATTAGTGTATTAACGGATGATATAGTATAATTTTATAAATTTTAGGTCTTTGTAATTTATATAATAGGTGAGATTATAATTTTGAAATAGTAATATTATAAGTACAATGATTGATATACTAATTATTGCATTTAGTACCACCAAATCAATATAATTATATAAATAGCTAACATATGAACATTAAAAGAGGAAATTTCATTTTATTTTCCAAATTATCCATCAAAATTCCATGAAAAAAATGATACAAAAATGAGTGGAGGAGAAAGTTCATACGGCATCTTAAATATAAGGAAAGTGATGCATCCTCGGTCACTGTTGGATCGGTTTCTTCTACTGTCTGTTCAATTTCAGCCCTTTCATTCTCAGTCACTGTTGGATTGCTTTCTATTGTCAGTGCAATTTCAGCCCTTCCATCTGCCATTCTGTTGAAAAGCTAAATTACACTTTTGCCCCTTTAAGTGTTCATCAATTTTGTGTGTGTGTGTGTGTGTGTGTGTGTATTTTGACCTTTATTTATTATTATTATTATTATTATTATTATTATTTTTCATTTTGTTGCTAACATTTTCAAAACAATACTACCAATCCACAAAATGATGAAACAGCTGTAACTTGTTAGGATAGTAGAGAGCGAATTCTCATAAATTATTTTTAGGAAAATGTTTGAGACCCCCACAAAAAAGGACCCTCATGACTCTTATGACCCCCACTAATGTATTGATCATTGATGTGTTTAATTTTTTTTTTCTATCTCTAACAATGACATGAATGGTTCAGATCATTTTAGAAGTTGTAGGGTTGTGTTTTGTGGGAGTCTCCATCATTACTGTTATTTTTAAACGATTTTTTGTTTGTTTTTATTGAACTATTTTTTATATTTTAATTAAAATTTTCATTTTGTGAAACCATCAAAGATTAGATGTAACTAAAAAGTAAAAAAAAAATTAAAATATTTTAAAAATTTACATGAAAATAAACGAAAATGCAAAAAATTTCATCTATTTTTAGTATTTTTTTTAATATTTTAGCTAATTTAATTTACTTCTCATATACACCTAAAAAGTACAAATAATTGATTAAGATATAAAAAAAATTCAATAAAAATAAATGAAAACTCATTTAAATTTTTTTAAAAAAAATCAAACCAAACAAACACCTAATATATGTGTAAATTTTTATAATCTAATTGTATGAAACTATAGTTGTTATGGATGGACTATTATAAATGGTCACATGGGCTATAGGTTTTGGTGAGATTGAAATGAGAAAAAATAGAGATGTAAGGGCATTTCTAATGGCCCATCTTTTTTTTTCTTTTTTCTTTTCAACAAATTTGAATAAAAGCTTCCTTTAATATCAAGTACTCCAACGGAGGGTTTTGAAATTTCATCAAACCACCGGTTGATCGGGTAGACGACCAGGCAGACGACCTGCTGGTTGATCGACCAGTATAATTTTTTTATAAATTTTTACCTTGAGTGGTCATCCGGGGGGACATCTAGTAGTGAAAATCCAATAGCAATGAACAGTGATTTGATGAGACCAGGTGGGCAACCAGCCGGTTGATCGGCCAGTGTAATTTTTTTACAAATTTTTGCCTTAAAGTGGTCATCCGAAGGGACATCTGGTAGTAAAAATCTAACGGTAATGAACAATGATTTGATGAAAATGACATTGGTCCTCAATTTGATGAAAGATTTGAGAAATTATTGATTTAATGAATCATTGGAGAAGTAAAAAATAAGTTTTTTTTATCAAATTTAAATTTGATGATGGATTTGATAAACCATTAGAGATGGTCTAAAGGGTGTGAGAAAAAATATCGTGAGGCACCAGAGTGGGTAAGGGTTTTAACTATCCTTTTGATTTTGCCGAGGCTGTGTAAAATTTCAAAAATATTTCTTATCCAATTATTGATTTTGAAAGGCGCTCATGTCACTGATTAAAGTGTAATAGATCATGTATTTTGAAGACTAAAGTGAAAAAAATTAAAAGATTAAGAATTAAAATAAACAAATTGCATATTAATCCAAGTAACGAAAGGCAGCTAAAGCCTATTTGAGACCTAAGGTAAAAAAAAAAAATTAATGAGAGCCCAATTTTGATCAATAATTTTTATTTTATTTTATATATATACGAACATATAAGTTGTGTTTAGATTTAGAATTCAGATACGATGGAAAGAAGAAAAAAATGAGAATATTTTCATTCATTTAATTTCTCCATTTCTCTCTTTTTTTTCTCTACACAAATTTCTCTTCAAATCTAGATCTAAACTCAGCCTTAAGCTTCCCACCTCTTGAGTAACCTCTGTAACTAACCCTTTAAATATTAATGAGGGTTGTTAAACAAACTAAGCTATTCAAGTTTGACTAGTTAAATTTCATTCGAGATCAGCTCGATAGGTAAATAAATCAAACTTAAATACATTTTAAAAGTTGTTAAGTTTTCAAGTCAAGTTTGAACAATCTACTACTCGACTCAATAAGTTTATATACACCATAAAAAAAATCAAGTGCTTCGAACTTAGCTTGTATTCGGTTGATTAAAAATTTATTCAAAATCAGTTCTCTATGTAAACAAACCCAACTTGAACACATTTAAAACTCCTTAAGTTTTCAAACCACATTTAAACAATCTAGTTTTCGGTTCGATTTGGCTTGCTTACAATTAATTGGAAAGGAAAAATATAGAAAGCATGAAAGAGTAAAAATTGACCTTTTCAAACAATTTCCATGGCGAAGATCGAGCTCAAAATGATCTTCAAGCTGGTCTTTGGATAAACACTACAAGTGTTCTTATAGTACCTGGGAAATCATCTTCTTTTGTTTCACATTTATTAACTAGAACACATATTGGGTATATATCATAACGTTGGGGTGGATTTTAAAATTCGTAGAAAGGAACATATATAATAAAAACATATTTAGTGCATTGTGACAGTATATAATTGTGAAATGTTAGGTAATAAAGCCGTGATCTAGAGCCGATCGTTTGTGTCCACTTTGGAGATCTGATATTTGTGACATCGGTAATTTTTATAGATTAATAGTTCAAATTGTATTCATATACTTATAAACTATATTAGATATGAGTGAAAAAAACTCGACCTAATGTTTAATGAGTTAATGGGTAGATAAATATAAATTTTTTATTTATAAAAAAATGTCGAGATGACACAATCTTGAACTGTTCCCTCATTCAATACTTGGACTAGAGAGCCATTTTCCATGATCTAATCTTAAAGGCTCAGCTTGCCTCCAGTCCAGATGGTGGAGGGTTCAGTCTGGTTCATTGGGTTTATTTTTGGATCCTTTTTTAATAATTTAAACTGTTCAAATTTTAGAATTTGTTGAGTACATTATCTTTGTAAAAATCATGTCAATCGGATAACGGATACTATGTATTTGGATAACTTTTTTATGAACTATTAATTTTTTAATCGTCCATTTTTTCAAGACAAAAGTGATCCGGGTACATAGTATCTGTTATCCGATTGATGTGATTTTTACAAGAATGATGTACTCAATAAATCCTAAAATGTGAATAGTTCTGATTATCGAAAATGAATCCAAAAGTAGGCCCAATTGACCGAACTGGGCCAGATTGTCCCAAATCTGGACTGGAGAAAGTCCCGACCCAATCTTAAAAACTAGTCATTAAAAATAATAAATAAATAAAGAATTATGATAGAGACCCCAAATAAATTATCAAATTTTCTACCAAATCTCTTACGTGAGTGTGGGATCCATACACATGTGATTTGTGTGGGTCCCACACTTATGTGAGAGATTTGATAAAAAATTTAATAATTTATTTGAGATTCATAGGATTTTCCATAAATATATTCTATGCAAAAGATTGATGCATTTTTTTGCTTTTGTTTTCCCTTTTATTTCCTAATGACCTTTCTCAAGGACCTTTGAAATTATATATAAAAATAAATAAAACGAACATTAATATAAGAGTGATAAATGAACCAATTAATTCGACTTCGACTCATATTCGGCTCGTTTGAATTTAGTTCGTTAAGTAAATAAGTCGATATTAAACTCATTTTGAAATTTGTTAAAATTTTGAAATCAAACTTGAACAATCAATTGTTTGTTCAGCTTGGTTTGATAATAAGCCTTAAATCATATAAAACTGTCAAACTATCAAACTATTCAAATATGATTTGATAAAAACTCGTTTGATATTGATTAAAAAATTCAACAAATCAAATTTAAATAAATTTTAAAACTAATTAAAAAAATTTATACCAAATTTAAACAGTTAACTTCTTAACTCGTCGATCATGCTCTGGTGCTCTGACCACTATGTTTTGTTTTGTATTGCTTTTGCTTTTGCTTTTGCTTCTTTTCTTTTTTATTTTATTTTATTTTATTTTATTAATATTGCTTTTTAATTCATATTTATTATTATACAGTTTTATATGCGAGAGCAATTTGAAATTTTAACTCAAAGTTGGAGCATTACAATACCTTCAGCTTACAAAGGTCATAAAAGGGTTCCTCCATTGGTAGAGCCTACGTGGATGACTCTGAACGGAAGTTTCCTCGAAAGAGAATGCAAAAGCTTATGCACTGTTTGTTTTCAAAGTTGAAGGGTAAGAATGGATTAGCAGTAAAATAGGATTATAAAAGTTATGTTCGTTTTGAAAAATTACTATGAGATTAAGAGTTTGGTGATTTCAAAACCCATCTAAAGGAGAGATAATATTGAAAGTAAAAGAATTATTTTGTCTCTCATTCAAAGTCATCTTTTATATAATAAGAGATTTTATGTAATTTCGTAAATTTAATTACATCCAACTACTATTATTGCATTCCCCTCTAAAAAAAAAAAAAAAAAAAAAACTACTATTATTGCATTAGTTCATAAACAAATATAATTTATATTAATTTTTTAACTCAATATGACCACACTAGCAATTCTCTATTCAACCTCACTATACTCATAATCCTTTTCAATCTAACCCGAAGACAAACGGAGCCTATATGATTTATGATTAAGAAGGTGTTTGACAGTTTAATTCATTTAAAATAAATTTAGTTTGTTTGTATTTGATAATAATAAATTAAAACATTATGATTAAACCCTCTACTCGTAGGGATGCAGATATCTTATAAGTTTCTCCAATATGTAAAATTTTAATATATTATCATTATATCTATGAGGAATATTACCATTATACTGCCTTCATCATCACCACCACTATCTTCACTCTATCCGGTCACCTCTACCATCACTGCCACCACAATTACTTCACCATATCACCAACTACACAACCATCACTACGACAATCACCTCCTACACTCTTCTACCTCCATCGTCATGTCGTCACTGTTAAGTTTTATTGTCAAAATTAAATGAGTAATTTTATTTTAAATATTATGGTTAAAGTCACCAATGGTTCGATGGCAAAATTTTGACGTTTATCTTAAAGTTTTGGGTTTAAGTCGCGAGACAATCACTTTGTGCACAATACCAACGATTAGGAAATGCGTACTAATTGAACGTTATTTTTTTTAGTGTTAAAGTGGATAATTACATGTTGGAGATAAGATAACATTATGAGGGGTGCTATTAGCACCCCATGAATTATTTTGGACCTCCATTTCTTTGGACCATCACTTATAAATTTTGAAACCCTTGAAATTTTTTAATACCAAAATTACCCTTATGAAAACAGTTCACTTATTGAATACACACCCCCCACACCCCAAAAAACCAAAAAAACCCTAACAAAGCACAAGAAGAAGAAGAAGAAGAAGAAGAAACGGCAATGTGATTACTGTCTCTGTTGTCTCATCCACTATTATCACAGTTGGTATGCTCTCTCTCTCTCTCTCTATATATATATATATATACACACACACACATACACACATAATTTTTTTGTTTTCTCATAATAATTTCTTCTCTTGTAGAAAAAATTATAATAACTGATTTAGTTTTCTCAGTAAAACAGGTTCGAACCTATGAATAATGTTTGTTGACCTGTTTCTGAACAAATAATAAATGTTTGGTTACCGGTTCCCGAACAAATAAACAATGTTTGAGCCTGTGTTCCCGAATTACGATCATGTGTTCGAGAGTTTAGTCCCAAAAAAAATGATAAACAGATTTTATTATTTTTGCCATTTTTTTCAAGAAACCGTCCCTTATAAGGCCAATCTACTTTGAGCTAAGAATAACATCAAAGTTATGAACCTCTTCTAAACTTTTATTGTTGTACTCCTCTCATCTTATGGAGTTGTTGTTGCCAGAATAAACTTACACTCATTGTCATTGCTAGAGAAGTGTATGTAATCAAATGGTTGCCACCATTATCGCCGGAATATTGCTGTCAAAGAGTTTTTAAAGTTTTGAGGGTGAGTAAGTTTTGAAGGTGGGATTTAGGGAAGATGGATGGGTGCTGATGGAGGTGGTTGTTCTCATAAACCCTAATTCACGATGTAGTGGGTGTGTAAGTTTGATTGTGAGATGGGGTGTCTCAAAATTAATGATGTCTTTTGTAGTAATTTTCTTTGAGGTAATTATTGTAATAAAAAAAAGTTAAAAATTAGGTGGTCCAAAATAATTTATAGTGTTAATAACAACACTCTAAAATTATATTGTCAAATATACCAAAAGATATGAGAGCTATGAGAATATAGGAATGAGCTTTTCACATTGATCCTTTAGGGTGTGTTTGGTAACGTTTACGTTTTCAGTTTATATTTACAAAAATTTTATAAACTGATTTTTGCTTATTTTTTGTTTATTTTTAGAAAAATATAAACTACAAACGTGTCTGGTAATTGACAAAATATTTAAAAAAAATTAAAAATATAAAAAAAAAGTGAGAAATGGCAAGTAGTGGCAAGTGGCGGCAAGTGGCGGCGAAAGACGGTGGTGGAAAGTGGTGACGGTGGGTGGTGGGTAACTGGTGGTGGTGGGTGGTGGCGGGTTAGTGGTGGTGATGGGTGGGTGGGTGACGGTGGTGGGTGGTGGGTGGTAGCGAGTGGGTGGTGGTGGTGGTGGTGGTAGCGGTCACACTTTTTAAACAAGTGTGATTATATATATATTTTTTAATCACACATTCTAATTAAAGTGTGATTGTTTATATATTTTTTAACCACTCCTTTTTATTAAAGTGTGATTATATATACACTACTACTTTTTAATCACACTTTTTAAACAAGTGTGATTATATATATATTTTTTAATCACACATTCTAATTAAAGTGTGATTGTTTATATATTTTTTAACCACTCCTTTTTATTAAAGTGTGATTATATATACACTACTACTTTTTAATCACACTTTTTAAACAAGTGTGATTATATATATATTTTTTAATCACACATTCTAATTAAAGTGTGATTGTTTATATATTTTTTAACCACTCCTTTTTATTAAAGTGTGATTATATATACACTACTACTTTTTAATCACACTTTTTAAACAAGTGTGATTATATATATATTTTTTAATCACACATTCTAATTAAAGTGTGATTGTTTATATATTTTTTAACCACTCCTTTTTATTAAAGTGTGATTATATATACACTACTACTTTTTAATCACACTTTTTAAACAAGTGTGATTATATATATATTTTTTAATCACACATTCTAATTAAAGTGTGATTGTTTATATATTTTTTAACCACTCCTTTTTATTAAAGTGTGATTATATATACACTACTACTTTTTAATCACACTTTTTAAACAAGTGTGATTATATATATATTTTTTAATCACACATTCTAATTAAAGTGTGATTGTTTATATATTTTTAATCACACCTTTTTAATTAAAGTGTGATTATATATACACTACTACTTTTTAATCACACTTTTAAAGTAAGTGTGATTATATATA